AAAATCCTAGTTTTCTGAGTATTTTATGCTTTCATTTTTTTCATTTTAGCATTCATCATCTGGCTGGAAAAGTTAAGTCTTAAGGGTTGACTTTAAAGCATCTATTAATGACTTGTTGGTCACCAAGGAATGTTCATATAGTTACACAATAAAAGCTCTTCTCAGAATAAAGATTCTGCTTCTGTTACATCTTTGCTGTACAGTAATTGTATACCAGATTTGTGCTGCTTGTTGGCCAGTCACTGAAACAAGTTTCCCAGAGGATTGTGGGATAATTATAATTCTTGGAGACTCAAAACTCAGCTGGACAGGGCTTACAGTAACCTGATACAATTTTTAGGGTGGCCCTGCTCTGAGCAAGGGATTAGATTCATGGGCTTCCAGAGCTACCTGCCTACCTAAATTATTTTGTCAATCTTAACTGAATTTATCCTTGGTCCAATTCTAATTAGATTTTACCTCTTTGATTAACTTCATTGAAATCAGCACAGTGCCCTTAGGAGTTAATTTGACTTCGTCTGCTTATCTCAGTCCTCCCAATGCAGTTTTCTTTGTAATTTCAAAGGTAAGAGTAGCTAGAATTAACTCCTACCCTTTTTCTTAATGCTGCCCCGTACCTTAACTCTTGTCCTATTTCCCACGTGGTTTACTAAGCAGTTAAGGAAGATAATTTTCTATCATGTGCATTCACACAACCAATCTTTTGGAAAGAAAATTCTGAAATAAACACTTAAAAATTTTAGAATATTAATATTGTAATTTGTTTAGGAAGTTCTTAAAGTATGAAGGAGGCTTACAATAAAATGCAATGATGCGGGGGGGGGAGGAGAGTAGAAGTGTTCCATATTTACTGGAATATCTAGCTGTTTGTTTTGCAGACTTACCATACCAATCATGGTTTCCCATCCTTTCAGTTGATGGACACATCTGACAATTTTCATTCCACAGTTGTCTGTCCTTTGCCCATCAATGTAAACTCCTGTGTCTCCCCATATGGAATGTAGCTGGGAAAGTTAATTGATTTTGGAGAGCTAATGAGATGCTCCCACAGCCAGATATACTCTCTGGTTTATACCTGTAAACCTGAGATGCCATCTCCTTAGCATGTCGAGATAGTTTACAGTTCTGCAGGGACACACTCATGTATTAATGATGTCTAATGAAGGTATTTTTTTATAAATTGTAAGTATATTATTTATGCTATAGTTAAAATACAGAGTAGTATGAAATGTAGATTGAAATCCTGCAAAGCCTATTTTGTTTTCCCTTGCCTTTTGACATTGAAACATCTATAGCTGTACAGCAGACCATATGGGTCCACTAACAATGTGGGACAGCAGCCAATTTGGTCCTGGGATAAAACAGGAATCAGCTGTGGGAAATAAGCCAAAGCAGTGTGATTCCCACATAAGGGACTTAATAGGTGTACGTCCATAAAAAATCTTTCTGGCAGGATTTAGAACAGGCTTCTCTACACAGAAGGCATATTTCTTGAGATCCTAAGTTAACTGAAGGGCAGGAGTGTTGTGGGATTACTGTTTTATCAGCTGATGCTTTCCTCCCCCCCACTTTGTTTTGGTTTTAGTTTTAGTATATTACTGTTTAGTTACAATCCCATTTATTCTTTTTTGCAACTAAACCATTTACTTCACGTGATGGTGGGAAGAAAAAAAGAGGAATTTTTTTCACCTGTACATAAGGCCTGCAGGTTTCCTCTGCTCCAATCCAGAGGTGGCTTTTTGCAATGTGGTTAGTTGGGCAATCCTGACAGTTTTTAGGAAGCAGCAACATTAACAATTTAGCCACTTGTGTGTTGTGTTTGCATCTGTGGCTTTCATTTGTGTCACCTCTGTCTTTGAAATAATTGGAAATGCAGAGGCTTCAGCAGGGAAAATCTGATTGCACCATCCTAATTTGCTTAGTACCAAATTTGTGTATATTTGATGATAACCAAAGTCTGTAGAGTTGAGTTACAGACTCACTTTTTTTCTGAAATACAAACTTTTAAATTATAAACAGTGTTATACTACATCCTGTGATATAGGTAGCAAGTCAGACTTTTTTTTAGAGGCATCAACATACCTTAGGTAAGAAAGGAGTATCAAAATCAAACAACAGCAAGTCATTAATTCAGAAATGCCTTATTTATTTTTGTTCAAGCCTGCTAAAGTCCAGCTGTTCTGATACTCAAGATGTTTGAGTCATTGCTAGTGGAGGTCACTGGATCAAACTTCCTGATCAAAGCAGGACCAACTTGAAAGTTTGCTCAGGTTATTACGAGCCTTGTCTAGCTCTGGTTTTGGAAGTCTCAAGGATGCAGATTATTCTACAAATCCTCTGGGAAATTTATTCCAGTATCCCAAACAATAAATTGGGAAGAGAAATATTTTTAAATATGTTCATAAAGGGCATTCAGTTTGCAAAGTACCCTATTTATAGTAATCACAAAGATTTTTAAAAAAGAACAAAAAATTCATTAGCAAAATCTTCAGCCATTTACTCTTATAAATAGTCTGAATTGTACTTTTGAGAAGAAGCATTTCTGAACATTGAAGCCCATGAATTTGTATGAGTGAGCATTTGGTTCCTTGTATTCAAGAGATAATGGTTTTGCTCAGTCCTTTTAAGCAGTGTTTGTGTGTATAACAAGAAATCTTTTTTTTCTTTTTTCCTCCCTCCTAAGGCAAGTATTTCCAAATGGGCTTCCTGAAGAATACTCTCTAGTTGCTACCTTCCGTGTACGGCGAAATACCAAGAAAGAGCGTTGGTATATATGGCAAGTTTTAAATCAGTATGACACACCTGAGGTTAGAGTCATCTTTGATTTGTTTTTTTTAATGAGGTTTCTTTTCTTTGCTCATTTAATACTGCTGATCAAACTTAGTAGATGTCTCACTGCTGGATTTAGCTGCAGTTGATAAGGAATAGACAGAGTGCTATGAAATAATTGCTGATTTATTGTAGGAATTAAAGAAATTTAAGAAAATATATTAAGACTACAAACTAGGATAAGAAGGCATGTTATGATTTATTATTTACAAAGTTACATGGAAGAATGCTTCATAACAATTATTTACCAATCTGTGTAGTCAAAGTATTTTTATTATGTATAGTTTATATGTATTTAATTCTTATACTTCTAAATAACCACTTCTTTTAAATAACTAATTCTTTTATTTTACCTTGCTTTCAGATCTCTGTCCTTCTGGATGGTACAAAGAAGGTTGTGGAATATATGACCAAATCTGCTCAGGGAAACATACTGCACTACACTTTTAAGAGTCGAGAAATTTATCCATTGTTTGATCGGCAGTGGCATAAGCTTGGTATTAGTGTGCAGTCGGGGGTCATTTCCCTCTATTTGGATTGTAATTTAATTGAAAGAAAACAGACTGATGAAAAATTCACCATTGACTTGCAGGGAAGGACTCTGATTGCTTCTCGCGCTGCAGATGATAAGCCTGTAGATGTGAGTAGTATGGAAAGAAAACCATATAATTTGAAATAGTGTTCTAGCCATGTTTTGCTGACACCATCCTAAAGACTTGTACAGATGAAAGGTTCAAAACTGGTTATTAATTTTGAGTGTGTATTCTTAATTTGAAGTCCTTAAGCATTTTTTTTCTGAACACTATTCTTGCAGTAGCATCTGCTAAGGCAAACCTTCTGTTACCAAAGTAACTACAAAAGTCTCAGTCCTGGTGTCAGGAGTCTGTTTTTCTGTATTTGCTTTGGAGTAAGAACCACTTAGTTACTGTAGACATTTTATTAACACATTTAGATAGAAACTCCAGAGGTAATTTTTTTCTTTAAATCTTTTTTTTATATTCATTTAAAAGTTGGTATCAGTCATCAGTCATAGTTTGTGCCTCTTTGATAAAGGGGAGACACGAGATTGTATCATATTCCAGGATGATTCAGTTATGCAGAAATAGGGGCACATCGTTCACAGTTGTTGCTCCCTCTTCCAAATGGAAGTGATTAGGAAGTGGCTGGAGGTGTGCTTCCTGCCGCCTTTGGTGCAAGAATTACCCAAGGCAATTCTATAATATTCTGGGCTGTATTCTGTCCCTGAGGTGCTCTCCTCTGTTTCTTCATGCAGAAGGCTCACAGCAAGTAATTTGAAAGCTTCAGTTTGTTTTAAGTATGTTGACATGCAGTTAACCAAATTTAAAGCACCTGATTTGGCATTTATAGTGACCATATGAAAGTTTCAGTTATATTATGTACACACTATAGTTTCAGGTGAAAGTAGGAGATTGTAACTGCAAGCTAGCATTGTGGGAGAAATCAGTCCTGTGAGGCACTAAACACTGGCCTGGACTCAGAGGTCTTTTTTTATAGGGGTCAAGCTTGTGCTTCATTTTGTTTTCTAAGACTGGGTTTTATGTGAAACGTACTTTAGAGTATGTACCATCTCATCACTTCCAAGTAGCACACAGGAAAAAGGAGCAGATTCTTTTTATCTTGTGTTGGTTGTATGGCACAGGCTGGGTAACTCTTAGCAGAAGGTGTCCAACAGGATTTCCGTGTTTGCAGGAAAACATTGTGGGCAGAATTCTGATCAAGGCAGCAAAGCGGATCCTGTACCAAGAGTCAGTCTTCTCAGTATCAAGTGTAAGGGAGAGAATAAGAGGATGCAAAATAGATGCAGGAAGAGGGCAAGGGCAAGGTTAGCTAGTTAAAATCAGACACTGTTCATTTCACCAGTCCACCCAAAAATCTCTGAAACAGGAGCTTTATGTACAGAATTTATGATTTTTGCTCTTCAGGCAGTTTAGAGGCAAGGTCTGGGCAAAGATCTGCCCAAAGTGATAGAAGATGTATGTGAAAGAGCTTATCTAACCTTTACGGTAGTTCACTGCAGGAGAAAATTGTGTTCCTGAAAAGGTCTGCAGAGGATGTCTAGAGAGCTAAAATGCCTATGTTGCATAGCAAGAGCAGTACAGAGGCATGCAACTTACATAAGAAAAGTTAAATTGAAAATGTATATCAAACTAATAGTCTGCATAACTTGTTCTTTAAGAAGGGAGCTCTGTAGTTTTGAATTTGTCTCTTTTCTTTTTTGAAACATGCAGTGCTTCAGTGAAAAAGATGATTATGCCAAGATAAGAAAAGTAAAGCAATAATACATGGTGTTTTACATCTTATATTAATCTCTTTTGTATTTCTTGATAGATTGAACTTCACCGCATAACAGTTTTTTGTAATCCAAAACTTGCAATGGAAGATACGTGTTGTGAAATATCTGCAGACCTGGTAAGTTATTTGTTAAAATGCAAATGTTAATACAAAAGAAATTGCTTTATTATTTCTTACTAAAGAGTTGTAAAGACATTTCAACAGAAATGATAGATTAATTACCTCTTCCTATATCTGGAGTCATGGTATGTTGTTTCTTGTTGCCTATCCAAATGGAACAGTGGTACTTCAGAAAAAGACACTAGGTGCTGCTGCTGTTTTTTAAATGCATTTCTTAGCATTGAATATCTAATTAGCAACTGAGGAAGGCTTAGAGAGTAGGAAAAAAATCACTGCGATGACCTCATGATGGCTCAAATAACAGAGGCCATTTCACTAACAGTTGCACGTAGTGAAGCATTACAGATCATAAACAAAGCCTGTGAAAGAGTCTGTGTGACAGTAGAAGGGAAGAAAAATAGGAAGGTATTGAGGGTGGTTCCCTTATTTCAATAAGCTAGCATGGAGGAGTGGGTGTTTCATAATTGGTAAACATTTTTCTTTATTAGGCACATGTTGAGATGTATGTTGTCATGATTTGGGCCTAACAGGACAACAAAGAACCAGCCCCATGGCCACTCCTCAATACACACACACACACACATACACTGGGATGAGGAGGACAAAGCTCCTGGGTTGAGACAAAGGACAAGGAGGGTTCTTCACTGATTAAGGTCCCAGGCAAAACAGACTCAACTTGGTGAAAAAATAATAATGAGGGAAAACGTTGTTTTAGCTCAGAGGGTTCACTTTTCCCTTTTGTTTTGATAGACAGAAAGAGAAAAAAAAGAGTGTAAAGTTGAAGATGCTAGAACTATAGAAATGCTTAAGTTGTGGATGTGTTTGTTTTGCTGAATCAAGTCCATTTGGAGAAAAAAAACAACAAACCACAACAAAACCAAACACACAAGAAAACAAATCAGAAAGAAATGTATGTTAAAATATTGGCCTGCTAGTTATGAATAGTCTGTAGAGCATGCTCCTCTGAGATAGCAGGCAATACCATCACCACCCAGCCTGCAGTCAGCAAAAAAACAAACAAGAACATGCAGGACTAGTTGATTACATCTACAAAGAGATGGGAGGAGTGGAGGGATAAAGCTACTCAAGAACAGAACGCTTTGTGGGAAGTGGCAACTGAGAGGTGGTCAGAAGAATGGAAGATGCAGAATCTAATACATCAAGGGAAATTTTAATTTTAAATAATAATTTATTGTTCAAATTTAATTTAAAATCTATTCCTGACAATACTGCAGGCTTTCTCTTGAATGTGTAAGCTCACAAGTAAGTAAAATGAATGCTTTTTTTCCTGTAAGTTCCACTTTGTGCATAGAAAAACAGTTTATTTAGAAGCTATGACAGTAGCAATTAAGTAAAAACAAAACAAAACCTAATTGTATATGAACACAAAACCATCAAGGTTAGGATTTATTAATAGTATCTTAAGCATTCATTCAGGTATATACTTATCACACCATCAGTTCATTTATGTCTTATGTTGAAGATGTAAAAAATGGTGGACTACTTGTTAATGACTTTCATATTGAAACGAGCAATACATTTTGCTGATTAATTTTTTCATACTTCCTTACCATTTTTAAAGGCTACGTTTTCAGTAATTTAAGGAAAGGGGTTTATCCTTGGATACAAATTTCTAAACTAAGCTTTAAGTCCTGTGGGAATTTCTTTGACAGAAGGCTCACAGGAGACCTGATTGCATCTTAATGAGAGCTTTTGAAATTTATCAGGTTCTGTTGATTGTTCTGCAGCACATTTTCAGGTTGGCTCAGCTCTTATGAGTCACAGACAGGTGAATATTGACTTCGGGGCTTTTGGTTTGTTTCCAAACTCTGCATGCCCAAAGTATTTAATTACCAAAAAAATGATAGAATTTTTCGTCACAATGACATTTTGCATTTCAGGGCAGGGGATGGAACACTGGATGAGAATGAGAAATACCCTTTCCCATGGGCATTTTCTGCTCCTCTTCTTCAAATTTCATTATACTTTATTCCTCTGGGCTCTTCTGGAGGAAAAAAGTTTGACAGTCAGATCAGTTTTAGCTGGCATTGATTTTAGTTCAGGATCACAATGTTTAGACTTCATTTTACTACAGCTTTTTCCTCGGTTTGGGAATTGTTGTGGCTTGTCTGTAATATGGTACAGGAGTACTAAAACAGACAGCAACTTAAAAATAGTGCTTGGATGGTAATTATCTATTAACCGAAGAGAACTAAAGATCAGAAAATTTCTTTTTCATTTTAGTGCCCACATGAAGAGAGGTTACTTGCTACAACTTCGTCACCAGTGACTGTTCATAACAGCAAAT